AGTATAAAAGGACACAAAAGAGAGAGCCTACAGGGAACAACTAGTGGTTTGTAACAAGGCTCAATTCAAGGAAGCACTAATGACAGTTTACATAGAGTCCTTCCTACACTACCGTTCTAACCACTTTCACATGTTTTAGCTCATTTAATAACCACAATCACCCACTGAGGTGGATACTAGTATTACCTTCATTTGACAGATGAGGAAACTGGCCGGAGATGGTAAATCACTTGCCCATGGTCACACAGAGTTGGGATATAAACCTGGGCAGTCTGACCTCTGAGCATGTATCTTTCTTTAACTAGTGGGTCATGTGAGAAAAAAGTAGAGGGTCAAAATAAATGAAGACGGAAGTCTTGTTTTTGAAGAGTATGGTGATTACACAGAGTAGGGACATATTGTAAATGATCTGTGTGCATATATACCATGTTTTCATTATATACGTGAGGATATAGTTATATAATGTGTCTGTATATACACAAATCTAACAAATAGCTATTTGATCAGGATAGGAAAGAAACTACTGCATTTGCCAGGAAGAAAAAGATGCATAAATTTATGGACCATTCTGATGGAGAAAAGATCAACTGACAAAAAATAATTTTTCTGTGAAGTTAAGCCTTAATTGTAAGTCAGATGTTTATAAATAACATCTTTCTCTTGAATATAGGATTCTATTGTTGCAAGTATTACCAAAACACTTAACAGGGTATTGCTGAGGATCTAAAACAAAGTCAACAGGACAAGAGATAAGGTGATGGAATAGAAGAAAGAGCACTAGACTCAAAGCCAGATTCTTGTCTGGATTCTGTCACAGGTCACCTAGATAACCTAAGGCCACTTTCCCGCAGAATGAGTGAGTTGAATAAAATTATCTCTATGGCCCTCCCTACAGTATGATTCAATTTTTTTCTTTTATAAGAAAGGAAATATTGATGGTATAGCTGACAGACAATAGAAGTGAGTAGAAATCCAGGTAGGTAAGAAGCAAGCTAAAAGTGACTTGTTAAAGTCTACTGGACCCTTGAGTCAAGGTGAAGACTTTCATAAGTCTCTTTCAGTCAAGGGATCTTACTAAACTTCAGTGGGTTATTTCTAGCATCTCATTTACGAAACATTTTCTTTTAAGTAAACAAACGTCTTGCAATATTTTTATATAAGTGTATTTCATCATTCACATTATCGTCTGGATCTAAAACTGCTCTAATAAGTGATTACAGGGGTAAAATGAACCAATGCTTCAATTAAAATACTTTGCACAGAAAGACCTTTGAAGGTTCTTTACTAATGAACTTAGACTAATATAAGGTTCTGATACTTCATATTCAGCAATTTTTATACATATTAATTAATTCTGTGTGAAAATAAAGTAATAAGACTGCCATTAAACAAACATTAGTGAATTGGGTAAGGCCAAAACTAAGAATCATTTATTGGCTTAAGTTTCGAAATTATCATTCCACTTCTCCAATGAAACATTCCTGCATCCATGCTGCGCTATAAACATCAATTATCCACTTACCTTTTTTTAGTTCACTGTTCTAACTCAGGGCAATAAAACAAAGGTAAAACCTGACCACAAGACAGGTGTCAAAAGAACCACCACTGCTTTGTTACATCTGTAATCAACAGAACAAAAAGGACTAGGCCCTTTTCCTTTTAGAAGGGAGGGGGAAGTTATCTGTACATATATATAATAAGTAGTTTTATATAAAGTGCCATTTTAATATGGCCATTATATATTACTAATTTGTGAGTTTATTTTTAAAGACTACCTTTTATATAATGAGCACTCAGGCTTTTTTAATCTTAAGAAAACTTTTTCCATCACACACTAAACCGTCTAAAGAGCTAACCAGCTATTTACTGTTGTAGCGATTTGGAGGTTTCCTACCTCTGAGGAGGAATAAAAGGTAGACAGAAGATTAAAATGAGTCCTATTTCAGCATAAAGAAAAGTTGCAACTGCCGCCCATTGGAGTGTCATTTTTTTTCTTCACACCTAAACAGACAAACACTTATTTTACTTCGCTGCCTTTCAAAGAAAGCGGGGTTAAACGAAAGGCCCCTGGGGCGCAAGGCTCTCGTCCAGGGGTTTGCGGCGTCCCACCTTCCCCCACCCGAGGCGCCCAGCAGTGACCCGGGGCGCGAAGGGACGGGAGGGGAGGGGAAGGGAAGGCGACAAGGGTGGGCCTGGAGGCCGGCGTCTCCACCTCCCGGGCGAGCCGTGAGGAGCTGGCCGGGCGGCACCGTGGCCGTCTTTTCGCCC